ACTAACATATAATGTCCTCTACAGAGGACAAAAGTCTATGCCTGGGTCCCAGGAGGAAATCAGAACACTGTTTTGTTAGATCTGTTAATAGCGAGTATGGCAAGCTTTTAATATTTTCAGTGTTACTCGTAGTAACCACATTTTTACTAGTAACATTTCAGTTAGAGAGCTGTCTAATTTAATTCTTACAAGTAACAAGTGAGTAGACTCACCTTCCTCACACGGCGGGCGACTCACTCTCCTCACACGGTGATGGTGCAATAACTAACTACATCTAGTAAAGTTTATAATTTTTGTGTTGTAAATAAATGTTCAAATGCTCAAAGGTTGATACATAAAATGTATTTTTTTACTCAAGCATTTTAGAATGAGCCTTTTTTCATAGTACATAATACACATTACACAGTTCTATACTGGATTGCATGAATCAAGCAAATTCAGATCTATCAAACACAAAAACAAAACACAAAAATTATTTATGTAATTGTAATAAAATGAACGTTTCCCCTTAAGTTGCAAAGCCATTATATTAGCTGTGATTTGCTTTTACAAAATCAGACCAAAGCAAATAAATTGACTAAAAAATATTGCACAGCAGGTACGATGACAAATTAAATTTAAAAATCTCCATAAATATGCAATTAATTGCCAGACTATTTTTGTCCAAACACTCGTTAAGAAAACTGTCCATTATCATTCTTAATTTGGAAACGAAACACTAAAGCCCTTACAAAAATATCCTGCAGGAATTCCTGAAGGAATGCTGCTTTCTGTGCAAATTAATTAAATGCACTGAAATAAAAACAATTGTGTTTACTTTAAAAATGTGCATGGAGTACATAATTTACTCTGCGTTCAACCGAATAAATGGGAGGTTGATTGAATAGCTGTGTGAATGGTAATGCATGTATATAATGTTATATTGTATACTATGGTACAATAATTTGTAAATACAGTGGGGAAAAAAAGTATTTAGTCAGCCACCAATTGTGCAAGTTCTCCCACTTAAAAAGATGAGAGAGGCCTGTAATTTTCATCATAGGTATACCTCAACTATGAGAGACAAAATGAGAAAAAAAAATCCAGAAAAACACAATGTAGGATTTTTAAAGGATTAATTGGTAAATTCCTTGAGAAAGTTTAAAGTGCACTGTGGATTTAATTCTTGGCATGATTGTATTGTACAAGAGTAGATTATTAATTTTTGCAATATGCATTTTTATTAAACATTGACAAATACTATTTTAAATTTTTATATGTGATATGTAATCTGTATATACATTTTTTTAATATTTATAGCTTTGTTATATATTTCCAGTTATGTAGGTATATATGAATATATACAGTACATGAATGTTGGAAGAATGAAAAATTCTGTACAATACAATATATCAAATCCACTGTGAAATAAAAGTGCAAGTAATACTAAAACTTATACTGTGATATGTGAACAACTTGTTTGTTTTAGATATTGTCAGTGAAATTTTTATTCTGAAAATTTTATAAAAAAATTTGTTAGTAAATTATATAATTGCAGGTAAGTACTTGTGTCCATGTTTTAAACACTGTAGACTAAAATAAAATATAAACAGACAGTAAGTTTATCCTGCAGGAATAGTGGCCTATTTAATATGAGTCCTCAAGGAATGAGCAAGATGATTCCTGCGCAAGGCTTAAAAAAATCAAAATTTTCCTACAGATATATATTTAATCCTACAGGAATTCAAAATTCCTGTATGTAGTGGGGCGGTCCTGCAGGACAAACGTGTGGACAATCCTGCAGGACTCATGTAGGAATGTCTCTGTCCTGAAGGAATTTAGTTCTGTCCTGCAGGATTCCTGCATGATCCCTGCACAGAAAGCAGCATTCATTCAGGAATTCCTGCAGGATATTTTTGTAAGGGCTTTAGTGTTTCGTTTCCAAATTAAAGATGATACTGGACAGGTTTCTTAACGAGTGTTTGGACAAAAATAGTCTTGCAATTAATTGCATATTTATGGAGATTTTTTTATTTAATTTGTCATCATGTACCTGCTGTGCAATATTTTTTTGTCAATTTATTTGCTTTGGTTTGATTTTGTAAAAGCAAATCACAGCTAATATAATGGCTTTGCAACTTAAGGGGAAACGTTCATTTTATTAAAATTACATAAATAATTTTTGTGTTTTGTTTTTGTGTTTTGTTTTTGGGCCGTGTGAGGAGAGTGAGTCGCCCGCCGTGTGAGGAGAGTGAGTCGCCCGCCGTGTGAGGAGAGTGAGTCGCCCGCTGAGGAGAGTGAGTCACCCGCTGTGTGAGAAGAGTGAGTCTCCAGCTGAGGAGAGTGAGTTGCCCGCCATGTGAGGAGAGTGAGTCGCCCGCTGTGTGAGGAGAGTGAGTCGCCAGCTGAGGAGAGTGAGTCGCCCGTTATTAGTTTTATTTTTGGACCTCCCGGCCCGCCATAATGGCAAGCCAAATTATCATTCACCCAACATTACTCGTCATAATTGCATTTTTACTAGTAACAATTATTAGAGAGTTCTATAATCGCAGTTGTTACTTGTAAGAATTAAATTAGAGAGTTCTCTAACTGAATTGTTAAAAGATATGGCAAGTTAAATTAGCTTTAAATTGGTTGTAATTGCATTTTATTAGTAAGAGTTGAATTAGAGAGCTCTTTAATAATAACTGTTACTATAATAATTAAATTAGAGATCTCTCTAACTGAATTGTTACTGGTAAAAAAAACTACAACTATAGTTTATATCACACAATTATGAAAAAGTCAAAATTGAGAGACGTAAACTCGCAATTGCAAGAAAAAAAGTCAGAATTGTGAGATAAAACGTTGCAATTAAATTTTTAATTTTTCATTTAGTGGCGGAAACGAGCTTCCATGGTATTTGGTCTCACAGTCACATACTAACAAAGTAATTCTGTTTGTAGAATTAGAATTATTTCTGAAGGAGCATATGATACTGAAGACTGTAGTAGTGATGCTGAGAATTCAGCTTTACATCACAGAAATAAATTATATTTTAAAATATATTACAATAGAAAACAGTTGTTTCAAATTGTGATATTTCACAATATTACTGTTTTATCTGTTATATTTATTTTATTAGTTTAATTAAATTAAATTAATTATTTTAGCTTTTATTAGTTTGTTTATCTGATATTTATGCAGCTGGTTGAACACTAACATGACTTATCAGTATTTTTTTGGATGTCAGCTGTGACGCTGATATTGCAATGATTCATATTCAGACTGGCCTGCCATCAGCTTGTGTGCTGAGGACAAGTTGTATGAGAACAGATACTCGTCAACACAGTCAGAAACCCGAAGATGAGATTCAGGACGCCTTATTTATTTTGTCAGCAGCGCCAGGTTCTCATGACACTGAGCTGGTGAGAGGCTTAACCAGTGTGACGTTTCTCTTTGACACACTGACCTACTTTAGCTCCACTGCAGGTATATTAACTCTTGCATGTAACCCAGGGAAACTTGCAGTACTCTAATATATACAGTGGGTACGGAAAGTATTCAGACCCCCTTAAATTTTTCACTCTTTGTTATATTGCAGCCATTTGCTAAAATCATTTAAGTTAATTTTTTTCCTCATTAATGTACACACAGCACCCCATATTGACAGAAAAGCACAGAATTGTTGACATTTTTGCAGATGTATTAAAAAAGAAAAACTGAAATATCACATGGTCCTAAGTATTCAGACCCTTTGCTGTGACACTCATATATTTAACTCAGGGGCTGTCCATTTCTTCTGATCATCCTGGAGATGGTTCTACACCTTCATTTGAGTCCAGCTGTATTTGATTATACTGATTGGACTTGATTAGCAAAGCCACACACCTGTCTATATAAGACCTTACAGCGCACAGAAACATAAAAATAAATGCCCATGCGCTTAAAAAACAGACAGCTTTAACGCAAACACTTCTGATTTGAGGTTCGGGTCGTGTGACATTGACATGGCAGTGGACGCACTTCATTACGGGACGCTGTATGCAACAGAGACAGACACAGATTGAACATTTGCAACTGGTAAAACTTCACAGCAAAGCAAATCAGAGGTGTTTTGGGATGGTATGCCTTTCTGTGTTGACGAAGAAGCTTGGAACAAATGAGTGTGATATTCTACAGCAATATGGTTTCCTCTCTTGTGCAGAATATTGATAAGTTTGTTGCCGAGGTTTGGGTTCTGTATGTACATTATGTCTGTATATAGGGGCTGTATAAGGTATATAGAGAGAAATAATTGCTTAGAAAACACAGATTTGTGACCAATATGGCATACTGTATTTTAATGTATTGTTTTTTACAGTATTCTTCTAGTAGGCTATTTACAGTAGCCTATAGGCTATAACCATAAAATGTCTTGCACCATTAGAGAAAATGCTTATATTAGTGACAATGTTTATGTTGCATCCTTTTCTGATTTAATACTGCAATGCAAAAATTTCATTACAAATTAAATTGTCAGCATAAAAGCTTGGTTTGGGAAATTGTATTATGTATCTGCTTTTAATAACTGCGTGAACGCCAGCTTGATTCGTGAATCATCCAAACAGCATCGTGTGGTTCAGAAATAGCACAGAAATATTTATTCTTCATTCATGCCATTTTAACCTTTCTTTGTTTTTTTAAATCTAGAAACTTAAGTTGCAACTTTTTTTTCCCCAAAAAATATCTATATTTTTAGTGTGGTCTCAAAGTTTCCTGTTTTTAATGTTTTTGAAATAAGTCTCTTCTGCTCACCAAGGCTGCATTTATTTGATCAGAAAATACAGTGAAAACAGTAATATTGTGTAAATATTATTCAAATTTAAAATAACTGTTTTCTATGTGAATATATTGTAAAATGTAATTTATTTCTGTGATCAAAGCTGTATTTTCAGCATCATTACTCCAGCAGTGTCACATGATCATTCAGAAATCATTCTAATATGCTGATTTGGTCTAAATGATTTTCGGGGCCACTGTTGGTTTTTCCATTGAACAGGATGAAAAGGGGACGATCAAAGTGTCAGAGCTTCACCCCGTTTGAGTGCAGAAACAAGAGACACAGGAGTGCTACGCCAGCACACGTCCAGACGGGCTCTTCCGCCTCACAGAGACCCACTGAAGAGATGTGGGGTGACCTGCCACACCACGTGGTCCTGCACATATTCCAGTACCTGTCTCTGGTTGAGCCTCTTCTGTGTGTTGCCGGTGGAACGATGTCTTTCACATCCCAGATCTCTGGAGGAGATTTGAGTTTGAGCTGAACCAGCCGGCCATCGTACCTGAGGTCCACACACCCAGATCTCATCCAGCAGATCATCAAACGACACGCTCAGCACCTGCAGTACGTCAGCTTCAAGGTCGGTTTTAGGAAGTGTGATACTGCCACACCATACACCAAATGTGACCCTGGACCACAAAACCAGTCATAAGGGTCAATTTTTCGAAATTGAGATTTATACATCATCTGAAAGCAGAATACATAAGCTCTCCATTGATGTATGGTTTGTTAGGATAGGACAATATTTGGCTGAGATACAACTATTTGAAAATCTGGAATCTGAGGGTGCAAAAAAATCAAAAAATTGAGAAAATCGCCTTTAAAGTTGTCCAAATGAAGTTCTTAGCAATCCATATTACTAATCAAAAAATAAGTTCTGATATATTTACGGTAGGAAATTTACAAAATATCTTCATGGAACATGATCTTTACTTAATATCCTAATTTTTGGCATAAAAGAAAAATCAATAATTGTGACCCATACAATGTATTTTTGGCTATTGCTGCAAATATCCCCCAGCAACTTAAGCCTGCTTTTGTGCTCCAGGGTCACATATGATCTGTGTACAGTGTGTTGAAGTCAAGTCACCTTTATTTCTATAGCGCTTTATACAGTACAGATTGTGTCAAAGCAGCTTTACAGTATTAAACAGGAAAATAGCGTGTCGATAATGGAAGAGGAGTCAGAGGACAATAGCAAACACTCAGTTAAAGTCAGTTCATCATTGATTCAGGGATGTCATCGTCCAGCTCAGTTCAGTTCAAATAGTATCTGTGTAATCAAGACGACAATATTGCCAGAAATGCAAGGGATAATTCACCCCAAAATGAAAATTCGGTCATTAATTACTCACCCTCATGTCGTTCCAAACCCGTAAGAGCTTCGTTCATCTTCAGAACACGTTAAGATATTTTTGATGAAATCCGAGAGCTTTCTGACCCTGCATAGACAGCAAGGGAACTACTACATTCAAGGCCCAGAAAGCTAGTAAGGAGTAAGGAGATCATTAAAATTGTCCATGAGACATCAGTGGTTCAACCGTAATGTTATGAAGCTCCAAGAATACTTTCTTGTGAGAAAAAAAATGACTTTATTTATTTATTTTTAGAAATAGAACATTCAGAGAAATCTTTATAACATTATAAAAGTCTTTACTATCACTTTTGATACATTTAGTGTGTTCCTGGTGAATAAAAGTATTAATTTCTTAAAAAAAAAATTGTACAGTAATGCACTAAGGATCACACTGATCATTTGTGCCTTCACGTGATATTGCATGCTCAGACTGTTTTAAAACGCTAATGTATGTTGTGGGAACATATTCTAAATAAATTGTTTTAAAGATCCCTCTAATCTTTTCAAATGTTAAAAAAATACACATGTATAATGTATTAAGAAATAAATCACAACTGTAATTTTAAGGGAATAATTCACCCCAAAATTTTTATTCTTTCATCATTTAATCACTCTCAAGCTGTTCTAAACCTGTATTAATAAATTTTATTCTGCTGAACACAAAAGAAGATGTTTTGAAGAATGTTGGTGACCAAAACAGTTGATGGTAGCCATTGACTTCCATAGTATTGTGTTCCATACTATGGAAGTCAATGGTTACGGTCAACTGTTTGGATGCCAACATTCTTCAAAACATCTTCTTTTGTGTTCAGCAGAAGAAAGAAACTCATTTGGAACAACCTGAGGGTGAGTAACTGATAATAGAACTTTATTTTTTGAACAAACTATCCATTTAAAATCATTTATATATATATATATATATATATATATATATATATATATATTGCTTTCCATCCATAAAGCCCTTGGGGATGGCATTTGGTGTGAGGATCTCATATCTGAAATTATATTAGGGGAGAATAAATTAGAGACTATGATAAATTTCAGTAGTCTATACAGTAGTAGTAGTTTTTTTTTGTTGACATGTCAGCGTCTAAGGCTATCTTCATGGCAAAAACTGAATTGGAATACAGCAGTTAATATTATACAAGATTTTTTTTAAATGAATGCATGATGAATCCAAAATCTTTACTGGTAAAAATCTTACTAAACAATATATATATATATATACAGTATATATAAAAAAAAAAAAAAATTTAAAAATTAAAGTTAAGTATTTAAACAAAAACTGCACCATTAAAACACTGGGTCTGATTTCCACAGCACGGCCGAGCTTCATGGACGTGTCCCAGGTACAACAGAAAAGTATTCACCCTTAACATACGACACCCACCAGCTGAATATGACATCTAACATCTGTTTTAAACCCTGTCGCTAACATACTAGAATGCCATAGATGTCAAACGTGGGATTTCTGTGGGATTTCACCCTTCACAAAATCCTGACAGTTTGAAACACGGCAGTATACTATACCAGTATTGAAAGTGACAAGTTGAGGCTTTGTTGTGGCTTACTTAGTCACAAAAGATTTAAAAACAAAGAAAGCTACTGATTTGATGGAGGGAATTTACAGGATTAATCAGACAACAATGTGGCTTCCAGCTGGCTCTGCTGTTTGTGTCCTTCTTTCTACTTGCTGTCGTCACAGGAAGATCTGGATGAGTAAGTCAGTGCCCTCACCTGGAGGCTCGATTATCCTTCAGTCGTCCTTTCACTTTCTCTGGTGTACTCTGTTCAGGTCAGGGCCATTTTGTCTAAGGAGGCAAGGGAGGAGGTGCCTCCTCAAAACATTCAGATGAGGAAATAATCAACAGTGCAAAAATAGAGCAGGAAGTAAAACTCCTTAATTTTCTCCACAGGGAAACAGATTTTTAACGATAACTTAAAGGTGGGGTAAGTGATTTCTGGTAGCCAATGTTGACATTTGAAATCACCAAAACAAACACGCCTCTACCCCAAAAGGGTCTGACCCCTATTTTGATAGCTCCGCCCCACACATACGTATACAACCCAGGCAACGAAAACAAAGTTTTCTGTGTGTTTTTTTTCACAGAGTTTTCTGTGAAACAAAGCAAAACCAATGTTACACCGTGTCTACACCGGACGCGAGTGGCGTGACGCTACAAAATACTATGGAACATTATAATCAGTGACGCTGTCTACATCATAGATTTATATACAGTACATATCTATGGTCTAAACTGGATGTGGCGCGGCACAACACGACAAATCCCCGACAGAAAACTGCTGCTGCGTTCTATTCATGACGTATTGACACAAATTTCAAATGATTTTCAACGGTCGCTTTGTCGCGTCCAGTGTACTAGACAGACTTTAGCTGTTGCGCCGCAGACACGGTGTTACTCGCCTATCAAGAAGAAACAAAGCAACCTCGGCGTCCGATCGCAGGCCATCCGCTCCTTGAGTTCTCTCCAGCGCTGGAAAGCTGATCTGATATTTACACGGGTCCTACTTCTTGCCTTATTGCCTTAAGCCTTATTTTTGTTCCGCAGACGGTTTTCTCTTTTGTTTTTTATCCGCCATCTCTATCTTTCTGTCGCTCGGCTCGCTAATGTCCATCCTGTGCACTGAACGCTCTCTCCTCCACATCATGAGTAGACACGCCCCTTACTGCTGATTGGCTACAAGTTTGTTTTGCTAGTCGGCCCGAATCAGTTTTCTAAAGTGTTTTTGAAAGATCGCTTACCCCACCTTTAAAGCTTTAAAGACTGACCTACTGTGAGCTTTAAGGTTGCTAATCAATGGTGTACGCCTTTGTTGAAGACATCTGTTCACAATTTTTTAATAATTGTGTTTAATATAGGGATGATCCTGAAGTATCGATGCGAAATACTGATGCGAATATCGAAAATATAAAATTCAGCTTCAGAGTTATATAATGTAGTCTTGTGTTTTATTAAAATTGATTATAATTGATATCTCAAAAGGATATGCACTCACACTGCAATGCAAGATTTTCATAAAATATAATAACTTGCCATTTCGGTTTGTTTCTCATCAAACCCTCAGTATATCTTCAGAATGCTTGGAATATACGCCACGAGATGCATATGATTATTTTACGACAGATATGCATCCACTTAAAAAAAAAACTAAAGTCACCATTCTCTGCCATTAAATTGGCAAGTGCGAGCAGGACATTTTTGTGTTATTAAGTAATAAACCTTTAGAACAACATTAAGCTGAATAGTCACTCTAGTTCACACAGTTCCAATAAATTGCGATGAGTTAAATAAACTCAATAAGCAGACAGACGCGACTACAGTCAAGCGCAGAAGTGCACAGGAAATAAGCAGCTGTCATATTTAAAGCAGTTTAAGTTAATATTGAGTACTGACTGATGTTCACTTGGATTGTTTTCCCCATCAAGGGGAAATAACTTAATACTCTGTCATTTATAGTCGTATGGTAAAATGTATATTTTTAATTGTGTAACGTTATGTTCAAAATAACTACAAAATGTCATGCCTTTGAAAAAATAAAGAGAACAACAGAATGTGCTGCTTTAGCGCGTCTCAGTCTCCTTGAGCATCTTTCTGGCGCATGCCACAAACATCAACCACAGCGAATACTTATCTTTTAAAAGGCTTCATTTAGATTAGTTGACGTTAAATGCATCATATAAGTCACTTTGGAATAAATCACAGTAGGCCTATGTATCATTATAAAAAAAGCGACTTTACAGTCTGGAAATACTTTACGCTATAGCTAATTATTTCTCGGACCCCCTATCACTTTAAGAACCGCTGGTCTACACAGAAGAAAGAACTGTCTAGACTCTGCCCTCGTATGAGTTGTGTCGAGCTATTAATTAGTCTGTTTGATGAGAAAAATATGAAATTGATCAAATGGGTTATTAATCTGTACAACTGCAGCAGCAGAGGACTATTATTCTGCTGCATCATACTGCAGAAGAACTGATGACGGCACGGTTTGATCTTCGGCTGACCAATCAGCAGAAAGTAGAAATCGAATATTCAAGCTGTTTATTCATTTTTCCACCCATGAACGAAAAACGAAAATTTAAGCTGAATTTTCGTTTTTTGGAAAAAAACAAAAAAGGAGCCGTATTCTAATTTTTCTACTTTCAATATTAAATCAAAAAATTAATGATCGAATGATACACGGATTCATTTTACTCTTAGTAATTTAATACATTTAATACATTTCATAATTTAAAAGTTCAGTTTAGAAGTATCGTATTGGTATCGTAATGATTGGTATATCGACGATACTGGCCTTTAAAAGTATCGGTATCGTATCGAAAATAAAATAAGTGGTATCGCCCAGCCCTAGTTTAACAGCTGAATTTATGGTGAAAGACTACATTACCCATGATGCTCTACAGAGAATTCCACCAATCAGACAGTTGCAGCGAGTGCAAACCTCAGGGGACACCCACTCCCATGATGCACTGCAACTGACATAATGAGTCTTGTTATGCTTAACCGTTTTATATATTTGCATATTTTGCAATACAAGTAAAATATATTGTTTCAATAGATATAAACAACAATTTAATAGTTTTCTCTATCGTTTTTATAGTTATCATCATTATTTAGTTAGATCATTTGTAATGCTTCATGGGATTGTAGTTCTTTCTGTCATTAAAGCTGTCAAGTGCACAGTCTTGTACGTTTTTGTCTGATTTTCAAATACTTTTTTGCTTCAAAGTTGTGATTCACCTCGTAGCTGGTTGGCTTGGTTCATGTCTTATAATGCTTTAAAAGGATAGTTCACCCAAAAATTAAAATGTGCTGTTATTTACTCACTCTCAGGCCATCCAAGATGTAGGTGAGTTTTTTTCTTCAGTAGAAGAACAAAGAAGATTTTTAACCGTGGTCCTTGTGATTCATAAAATGCAAGTCAGCGTCTGCCCGTATTTCAGAGTAAAAAAGCATATGAACACAAAATGAATCTCTAGCTCCTGACGATATATTATGGTCTTATGAAGCGAAATGATCAGTCTGTGCAAGAAACTGAACATTATTTTCAACATTATTACCTGAAATCCAGAGCTTCAGACAAACGGTCCGGAGTGATGTCCGGTTCACAAACGAATCATTCTTTTGAACAGGTTCTTTTTGGTGAACTAGTTTAACCAGTTCACAACAAAGTTACTCAATCAAAACTCACTTACAGACGCCTGACAGTCACTGCGGCTGGAAATGAACAGAAATAGCGGTGTATCTGATCCTGTGATGAATTAATCATTCAGCGCTTCAGTTCCTCCAACAGACACTGAACTGAGGAAACAGTTCGACTCGGACCGAAGACCGACGAGCCGCTGATATTCACATGCATGAACCAAACACACCAATGAAGGGCCAAATTAACATTTTTAAGGTTTCTCTTTGTTTATGTAAAAAAGTGAGCTGATGAAGACTAGTTTATTCACTTTGTATGCTTTAGACATGCAAAACATCCACGTTTCACATCATTATTGGGTGCTTTAATAATATAATTGCACATTACATCATTACATGATTACATTAATAAACTAGTTAATTAAACCAGTTCATTGAAACAAACTGTCCGAAAGAACCAGTTTGCGGAAAATAATCAGGTTCCCGTTTGTCTGAGGCTCTGGAATTTTTAAGGTTTCTCTTTGTTTATGTAAAAAGGTGAGCTGATGAAGACTAGTTTATTCACTTTGTATGCTTTAGACATGCAAAACATCCACGTTTCACATCATTATTGGGTGCTTTAATAATATAATTGCACATTACATCATTACATGATTACATTAATAAACTAGTTAATTAAACCAGTTCATTGAAACAAACTGTCCGAAAGAACCAGTTTGCGGAAAATAATCAGGTTCCCGTTTGTCTGAGGCTCTGGATTTCAGGTAATAATGTTGTAAATAGTGTTCAGTTTCTTGCACAGACTGATCGTTTCGCTTCATAAGACCTCAGTATATCATCAGGAGCCACTCATTTTGTGTTCATTGATATGCTTTTTTTATTCTCAAAAACTTGCATTTTATGAATCACCAAGGACCGGTTTCAGCTAAAAATCTTCTGCTGAAGGAAAAAGTCACCTACATCTTGCATGGTCTAAGGGTGAATAAATTAAAAGCACATTTACATTTTTGGTTGAACTGTCCCTTTAAAAAAGACTTTTTAAAATCCTTTACATTATTGTAGTTTTCTGAAGCAGTGTAAAAATGCTTAAATTCAATTGTGATTTTGTTTGAATAAATAGTATAAGTATTATATTTAAAGATACGTTTGTGGTTTTATGTTTATAGTTCTGGACTTGTTTGAAAATGAACCAGCATGTCCACAATACAAACAGCAGCATAGCCTCTGAAATAATGAAATAACGCTTGATGTAAAGGGTATGAGGAGCCCGCGGCTCTGACTTTGCCTGTCTTGTCTGCTCTGTTCTCAGTCACACTTTGTCTCAGCTCTGACGATGGTGTTTGTGAATTCCAAATCCTCTATAAAAATTGATGACACACCGGTTGATGACCCTTCCCTGAAGGTACTGGTCACCAACAACAGAGACACGCTCAAGCTGCTGAAGATGAGTAGCTGTCCTCATGTGTCTTCTGCAGGTCAGTGCATCACCATCTGAGTCATGCCAGATAAAACATGAACATATGAACTTGGTTTCAAATCAACAAGAAATCCAAATGGACCCGTTTACATTTTAATATACACTCCTGGTCTTATTGTGCATGAGTTTATTCATCTAATATAAGCTAATATAAGTCATGCCACTGAGAAGGTACATAATTTTAAATTCGTAGCTGAATGTCTTTTTTTATAAATTATTACACAGTCTGCAAAATCTCAAATAAACCTATTTATTTTAACTGCAGGCACACTGTATATCATATCATTGTTAGACTGAAGATTATTGTTTGAATTAAAATAAGTAACTTTGCAAGTTACGGCAGTGTGCAAAAAAAGTATTTTAGAGTCTCCTCTCTTTGAAAACCTCTTTGAAAGAATGAAATCAAAGGTTTAGTTTTAATGCTTTGACTTTAATGCTTTGAAGTTTATTCAGTGAAAACTTAATATGAATAATGTAATTTCTGTTGACGATAACTTTAACTAACCAAAACATTTCTGTGGAAGCTTGTTTCCATCACTGAATAAAAATAAAAAAGGTAATTGCGACTTTATAACTGAACTTTTTTGAATTTTTTTCACAGAATTGTGTGATATAAACTCGCAATTCTAATATTTCTTCTCAGAACTAACCAAAACATTTCTGTGGAAGCTTGTTTCCATCACTGAATAAAAATAAAAAAGGTAATTGCGACTTTATAACTGAACTTTTTTGAATTTTTTTCACAGAATTGTGTGATATAAACTCGCAATTCTAATATTTCTTCTCAGAATTGTGTGATAAAAACTCGCAATTCTAATATTTCTTCTCAGAATTGTGTGATAAAAACTCGCAATTCTAATATTTCTTCTCAGAATTGTGATATAAACTCGCAATTCTAATATTTCTTCTCAGAATTGTGTGATAAAAACTCGGAATTTCTAATATTTCTCAGAATTGTGTGATAAAAACTCGCAATTCTAATATTTCTTCTCAGAATTGTGTGATATAAACTTGAAATTCTATTATTATTTTCTCAGAATTGTGTGATATAAACTCGCAATTCTAATATTTTTTTCTCAGAATTGTGACATAAACTGGCAATTCTAATATTTTTTCTCAGAATTGTGACATAAACTCGCAATTCTAATATTTCTTCTCAGAATTGTGATATAAACTCATAATTCTAATATTTCTTCTGAACATTGTGTGATAAAAACTCGCAATTCTAATATTTCTCAGAATTGTGTGATAAAAACTTGCAATTCTAATATTTCTTCTCAGAATTGTGTGATATAAACTTGAAATTCTATTATTATTTTCTCAGAATTGTGTGATATAAACTCGCAATTCTAATATTTTTTTCTCAGAATTGTGACATAAACTGGCAATTCTAATATTTTTTCTCAGAATTGTGACATAAACTCGCAATTCTAATATTTCTTCTCAGAATTGTGATATAAACTCACAATTCTAATATTTCTTCTGAACATTGTGTGATAAAAACTCGCAATTCTAATATTTCTCAGAATTGTGTGACAAACTTGCAATTCTAATATTTCTTCTCAGAGTTATGTGATATAAACTCGAAATTCTATTATTATTTTCTCAGAACTGTGTGATATAAACTTGCAATTCTAATATTTTTTCGCAGAATTGTGTGAAATAAACTCGCAATTCTAATATTTCTCAGAATTGTGTGACAAACTTGCAATTCTAATATTTCTTCTCAGTTATGTGATATAAACTCGAAATTCTATTATTATTTTCTCAGAACTGTGTGATATAAACTCGCAATTCGAATATTTTTTCGCAGAATTGTGTGAAATAAACTCGCAATTCTAATATTTTTTCTCAGAATTGTGTGAAATAAACTCGCAATTCTAATATTTTTTCTCAGAATTGTGTGATATAAACTCGCCATTCTAATATTTCTCAGAATTGTGTGATATAAACTCACAATTCTAATATTTCTTCTCAGAATTGTGTGATATAAACTCACAATTCTAATATTTTTTCTCAGAATTGTGTCATATAAACTCGCCATTCTAATATTTCTCAGAATTGTGTGATATAAACTCGCAATTCTAATATTTCTCAGAATTGTGTGACAAACTTGCAATTCTAATATTTCTTCTCAGAGTTATGTGATATAAACTCGAAATTCTATTATTATTTTCTCAGAATTGTGTGATATAAACTCGCAATTCTAATATTTCTTCT